CTTTGTACTCGTTTATTTGCAAGCTCTAAAAACAAAAGAAATAGTTTTACTTCGAATCGTTGCAGAGCCTTGTGTGTGTGTGTGTGTGTGTGTGTGTGTGTGTGTGTGTGTGTGTGTGTGTGTGTGTGTGTGTGTGTGTGTGTGTGTGTTGTGTGTGTATGTGTGTGTGTGTGTGTGTGTGTGTATGTGTGTGTGTGTGTGTGTAGGTTTAGGTACAGAGGGTTTTACTGCTCCTCTTCATTTTCTGCTGCGTCTTCTATCAGTTCTTCTTGCGGAGTTCCATCATTCTCTTCATTTACTCTGATAGGAAAGAATCCATTGATTTCATCGGAATGATGAACTGAAAACAAGCAAACATAAAAAATACATTATTTTTTTCAAATATTTTTAAGCTTATTGTATTGTATTATTATTTCGTGTATTGTTTATTGTGTTATGTATTGTATTATTATTTCTTGTATTATTTATTTTTTAATATTTCTTATATTATTTATTGCATTATTATTTTTTATTATGAGTTGCAGTTATTGTGACCTGTCTCATTTTTCATCTCTTGCTTCCAAACTTTTCCAAGGTTTCCCTCGCCTCTCTTCCCTCTGTTTGCTCTTATTTACGCTTATTCTTCGTATTATCAGTTTTCTCTAAATTTGATCTAGCTGTGAATTTCAGCTTAGTCTGATGAACATGAATCCCAGTTCATTGTGTGACAAAAAAAAAAAAAAAACTGCCTTTCCCATTTTTACTATCCCTATCATATACCTTATAAAATAAAAGGTGAACGAGAACGCACCCGTTATTTTCCATGTTCAGATGTTATTAATAACTCCCGAGTGCAGTCATAGACGCTAAGACGTTGTGTAGTTTTAAAAATATGTTGGATAAATATACGAGTGGGTGTGGGTGGGTGTGAGTTGGACCTGACTAGTTTGTGCTACTAGGTCGGATGCACTGCTTCTCCCTTAAGTGACGTGTCTGACCTCACCAGGTCAAGGCATTGGCTTAAGCCGATGGGAGAATTGGAGCTGCCTAGTATAGCCAGTAGGCCTGTTGCAGTGTTCCTTCTTACTTATGTTCTATAGAGGGGTAAGAAACGCAACCAGAACCATGGCAACTAATGAGAATCTCTTGTTGATAGGCAGAACAAGGTGATGTTTGACACTGTCCAGCGACCTCACATCAAATAACATTACTGCCACTAGGAATGTGTTGCCATCAACGGCCACGATTATTCTTGCATCACACGTTAAAGACCGAGTGTAGTCACTGGATCTCTAATATATGAAGCATGCTGGTGCAATGAACTAACTCGTCGTGGATTTTGGCGAACTTCCCGGGAGGAAGACTGATTAAAATATCATAGGTTTGATCTCCGGCTAGTCGCAGTAATGTTATTTGCTTAAAGTCACTTTGTTCATGGATGCATAATATATATATATATATATATATATATATATATATTATATATATATATATATATATATATATATATATATATGTATATATATATATATATAAATAATATATGTATACACTTGAAATGCATCTCTCAAACCTCATGTACTGTATATGCCATCTTTGTACCAGCAGTGTATCTTTTATATATTGTATACCATATTGTGTAATAAAACATACCAATTAAAAAAAAATGAAAGATGGGGTGGTAGGGGAAGCAGAATATTCAAATGGCTTCGGGAAGAAATACAGATATCCTTCCTCGAAACCTTTCCTCCTGCCTGTATAGTCCCCTCTCTTGTAGCTTAGCTGTTTTCTTCTTGCCCTTCCTGCCTCCCTTTCCGTGTGTGTGCAATTTTATTAAGGTGGTCTTAGAATGTATACGAGTTTTTAGAAAGCACCAGTTTTAATAATTTTTCAATTTATTATTATTTTATTATTATTATTATTATTATTATTATTATTATTATTATTATTATTATTATTATTATTATTACTATTATTATTATTATTATTATTATTATTATTATTATTATTATTATTTCTGTTTATCATTATTTTTATTGTTAATTCCATGTTAATATTAAAGATTCACTGACAGGCTCAGTATGAGAAGATTTTGTAAGAGTATTTTTCAACACTAACCAGTTCCAGAGACACAACATCTACAGCTGCTAGTCAGGCATCCAGATGGGAGCTGCAGCTGGTTGGCCTTGCAGGCAGCTTTCTGACACGCTCCACCGAAGCGTCTGCATATCGGTTTACTTGTGCACTCTGTACACAGGGATTAAAAATTTATGTGTAACAGAATTTTGTCATTATAGGAGGGTAGTGTGGGCGAAAAGAGGAATGATTGGTGGAAAGGTGAGGCGGAGAAGATGGTAAGAGAGTAAAGTTATCATATGAGATGACTGCACGATGTAGAAATTATTTATAGAAAGTGGATTATAGGGAGAGGAAAACAGATGTTAAACAAGCAGTGATGGAGTGCAAGAGGAATTCCAAATCAGATTGAGTGAATCTGTAGTCAAATTTAGCTGAAAATATAATTTCTTTGTATATGGGAAAATAGTACGAAAGTGTAAAAATTAAAGGGTGAAATGTATGGTAGAATTATTATTGAAAGTTTTAGTATTAAGAAAAAGCAATGTTGCCTAGTAGCTTGAAAGATTTATTAAGTGTAAGAGATGTGAAGACCAAGACGCATATAAGTGTGCAGTCCTTAAATAAGGGTAAAGAACTGGGTATTGCGTTTATTAATGTAAGACACATATGATAGGATGCATCAGGAAGGAATGTGGGAGATGTAAATGCAAGGAATGGGTAGTAGGTTAGTAAAAGCAGTCAAGTTTTAATGTAGAGAGTTAAGATCAGGTTAGGGCATTTAGGAGAGGAGTATTTTCAAGTGAAAGTGGATGTCACCATAGTTGTAAGATGTATTGATGGGGTTATAAAAGAAGGGAATGCTAGGGTATTGAGCGGAGGTGTGGGCTCCAAAGATAATAAATCCATTACGAAGCAGGAATTGTCCCAGTTACTCTTTGACGATTATACAGTTCTTTTGGGAGATTTTGAAGAGAAGTTGCAAAGGTTAGTGAATAACTTTGGGAAGGTATGTAAAAAGAAATTAAAAATGAGCATAGAAAAAACACAAGATTATTAGAGTAACAATAAAAGTTGAGACACAGAAAGATTGACTATCAAATTAGTGGGAATATGAAAGAAGTGAATATGCTGAATATTTAGGAGTGGCAGTGTCAGAAAATCTTTGAAAGATGAGATCATCCATAGAAAAGTTGTGATACATTGTTTTAAAACCGACAAGTTGAAGATTGAAACACTTATGCAACATATAGGAATCTTTACTGAAGAAACGTTTCGCCACAATGTGGCTTTGTCAGTCCAATACAAAGCAGAAAGGTGTAAGGAGAGGAGAATTTTGAGGTAATCAGTCCCTCAGCCTGGAATCGATGTGCTCAGTCCATCGCTCTTGTAGAAAGTACAGCATAGGGCCATAGAAGTGGCTTATATACTGCAGTCAGGTGAGTCGAAGCACATGTCAGTAGTTGCATGAACTTTTCCCTGGTTACAGTACACCAGTGTTGAAAATTCGAAGTTGATCATATGAGGTGTTCTCAATTTATTAACGAAAATTATGTAAAATAAAAAAAAATCAGACAGCCACTTCAAATTACCTCTGAAGGATTAATAGATAAAAAATATTTTATACACAAATATCCTGCACTTAGGAAACTGAAGCTTATGACAACGTTTCGGTCCCACTTACATCATTACTAAATCACAATGAAACGAGAAGGGAAGCAAGCCAGAATATATACGAGAGGGGACGAGGAAAGGAAGAGTTATAACAGGAGTGAGTAGTAGTAGTAGTAGTACTGGTAGCAGCAGCAGCAGCAGTAGTAGTAGTAGTAGTAGTAGTAATAGCAGTGGTAGTAGTAGTAGTAGTTGCAGTAGTAGTGGTAGTGATGGTAGAAGTAATAGTGAAGCAGTGGTAGAGGTAGAAATAAGAGGGTATTAATTTTAAAGCTCTTGTTTTGATACCGACTAGAAGAGGTGAAAAATATACCAGACAATTTTTAATTTGTTCTAGCTATGCATTTTGACTTACAATTTCTAGTTGATAAGCCTATAATAAACCGGCTACAAGGCCACAGTGCTGCATAAAATATAAAGAAGCAGAGAAGGTGAAGCAGGTGTGGAGAGAGAGAGAGAGTGTCAGGCATAGTAACAGTACACTTACTACTACTACTCGCAGCGCAGCACCTGCACCCAGGACCGCAGTTCCTCCTACTGATCTCACCGGAATCTCTGCAACTACTCGTGCAGACTCCTCCTGCATCTTGGCAGGCATCATGAAATCTGCATACAGCTCTGTCAGCCAGGGTGTCATTCAAGGCAAATTCATCTGGAACAACGGAATAATCATGTTGTAAACCCGAGAAAAATTAAGCAGGTTAGTTTGAGTTATTAACATCAGTAGTGCAGAGTCTGCATCACATCGCTTCTTAAATCGGTAAAACTTATTTGAATAATGTATAGAAACTAACATTCAAGTTTTCTTAATCATGAATTCTCAACATCAGAGTTACTATTTCAAACAAAAGGCTTTCACAAACACAAACACTACAGTCTTCGCCTGGGGAATAAGAAGCATTCAAGTTTGAGACAAGTACAGTTCCATGGATCAAGAGTCCTCACCCTCACTGGGAAAGAAATTAACATTACTGTCGAAGAAGCATCTATCACTTGCTAACATTGATCATGGTGGGTTTGGAAGGCAAATAATTATTTTTGCTCGATTTTTTTTTTGGCAATAACATACGTGAAATGTTATGTTTAAATATATTATTATTATCACGGAAGCGCTAAACCCGTAGGATTATACAGCGCATGTGGGGGGGATGGAAGGTATTCATGCGCAATTCAGGGAACCGGAGCACAGATCCAATTCCCTAGATCAAGAGCCCCTCACCAGCGTCAAGGAACCTCCCTTGAGGGGATGTTTAAATATAGCTTAGAGTATTTAAAATTTTCGGCTTAGTATATGTACGTAAATAAAACAAAATTATTCATTTACATTTACAGGCAATTAAAAAATAATTATTAAGAAAGGAGAAATCGCTAGGAAAGAAAAATAATTAGTTAAATTATTCACTGAAGTTTTAGCAAGTTTTGGACAATAATAAACACACAAAAATTGAGTGCATACAGATATAAAAAACTTGAGAAAAAGTTTTTTAAATTATGAAGAGTAGAATGAAACATAGAGAGGTGATGGGACCCTGTGAGTCCTCTTTTATGTATATTTATCATTGTTACTGCCTCTGTGTCTGTCTTATGTATATGTAACATTGTTACTGCCTCTGTGTCTGTCTTATGTATATGTAACATTGTTACTGCCTCTGTGTCTGTCTTTTGTATATGTAACATTGTTACTGCCTCTGTGTCTGTCTTTTGTATATGTAACATTGTTACTGCCTCTTTGTCTGTCTTTTGTATATGAAATTTTTTTTCCCAGTTCTCAAGTTTGAATAAATGCTTTAGAAACAGACAAGTTGATTATTAAGACACTTGTGCAACATTTGAATATCTTCATAGAGAATAAATATGCATAAATGTTACACTGTATCATTTATCAGTCCTCAGGTTGCTGTGTATATCTGTTATCCTTGTCTTGTGTTTACTAAGCAGTTCCATAACATCAATGTTGTGTATGTGTCTGTGTAATGGTGTACACCAGTGTTGTGTGAATGTCTGTGTAACGGTGTATACCATTGTTGTGTGAATGTCTGTGTAACGGTGTACACCAGTGTTGTGTGAATGTGTAAGGTTGTATACCATTGTTGTGTGAATGTCTGTGTAACGGTGTATACCATTGTTGTGTGCATGTCTAAGGTTGTATACCATTGTTGTGTGAATGTCTGTGTAACGGTGTATACCAGTGTTGTGTGAATGTCTGTGTAACTATTGTTTCTATAGAACAGTGCCACAGTCAACTGATCCTGTACTGTGTTCATGTAATAGTGACACAGTTCTTTATACTATGTTACGTCCATAAAACAGTCCCAGAGTCAACTTTTCTGCTGATTTTATGATAGTTTAATGTGCCACAGTCTGTTTCCGTGTAGAGTGTTCCCTATGTTGCATGTACTGAACAGTGCCACAGTCAGTTTGTCCTGTGTTGTGTTTGTCATGTGTTGTGTTTGTCATGTGTTGTGAAGAGGTTTCAGTGTCTATGGTGCCACTGTTGCTACTGGGTCCAGTCTCCTTCTATCTTCTTGTATCTCGCCTTCTCCAGGTCCATTATCTGAAAAAAAAAGAATTACGCTATATTATCGTGTGATTATACTCAGTTGTCGAACTTTCTTTCGTGTGTGTGTGTGTGTGTGTGTGTGTGTGTACTCACCTAGTTCTCACCTAGTTGAGGTTGCAGGGGTCGAGTCCAAGCTCCTGGCCCCGCCTCTTCACTGGTCGCTACTAGGTCACTCTCCCTGAACCATGAGCTTTATCGTACCTCTGCTTAAAGCTATGTATGGATCCTGACTCCACTACATCGCTTCCCAAACTGTTCCACTTCCTGACTACTCTGTGGCTGAAGAAATACTTCCTAACATCCCTTTGATTCATCTGTGTCTTCAACTTCCAACTGTGTCCCCTTGTTACTGTGTCCAGTCTCTGGAACATCCTGTCTTTGTCCACCTTGTCAATTCCTCTCAGTATTTTGTAAGTCGTTATCATGTCCCCCCTATCTCTCCTGTACTCCAGTGTCGTCAGGTTGATTTCCCTTAACCTCTCCTTGTAGGACATACCTCTTAGCTCTGGGACTAGTCTTGTTGCAAACCTGTGTTGTGTGTGTGTGTGTGTGTGTGTTGTGTGTGTGTGTGTGTGTGTGTGTGTGTGTGTGTGTGTGTGTGTGTGTGTGTGTGTGTGTGTGTGTGTGTCTATAATACGCACATCAGCTCACGCTTCATTTCCTTGCCTCTTAGCCAGTATGTTCCCCATCAATAAAATTAAATAGCAGATCAGGGCTGACGTTTGAAAACTATACACTGAAAAACTATGTAAATATGGCTTTAGAGTAATTTACATTCAAACGATGTATAACAAGAGGAGAGACAGAGAAAGCAAGTTAGAATACCAAGAAAAACAAGAGGCTCAGAAGCTGTAGATCAACACCCTGACGAGACACCATCATAAGGCCCAACACAATCACCGTAAAAATGTGGCTGATGACTCTGAAACTAGGTAGGGTTTCCCCTCGAGCTGGGTGCGTCTACTGAGCGAGTTACAGATGGTAAAGCTAGTCTCGCTGTTATATCACAGAAACCAGTAAAATTTATTAAACTCACTCCTGTTATTTTCCTCTACCAGGGGATATGTTAGAGCACAATATTTAAAACAATATAATTAAACGCATGAATTAGGCTGATTTAAGTTGAAACAAATATCTTACAAACCGCTACAGAGAATTGTGTAAAAATATAGTTCCGTTTGAATATTCATCTTTCTTTACAGTTAACAAAGGAAATATTAACATGATAAATATTTAGAATAACAAAAACTGATGTTAATATACAATGAATTCTGTGGGCTTTCTCAAACATAAGTGTTTTGAATTTTATTTTGATGATTATGAGATTTATCTGCCATCATGTAAGTTCTTGAAGCTGAAATTATGAACTAGCAATCCTGACAGAGTCCATTTTACACTCACACGACAGAACGGTACAATACCTTCTTCAGTAACTGTTGTCTATCAATCTACTGCCTACATAAGATCTTACAGATTCTCAGTCTCCCCAGTCATAGGTTCAGCGCTAAGCCAACCCCCCCCCCAAGTCAACTTTGAATTACACAAGTACTTGGAAATTAGTGACATCTAACTTTTTCACTCTATTATTGGCTGAACTATAATATATTTTTGTAATATTTGAAAATAATTTGCATGTCTGTCTCAAGTCTTATTCTGGCCTTGTCAACTAGTTCACCACAAGGATAAAGACCTGCAACATACCTCACCAAGTTGTTCGTAGTTTCCACTGCCTTCGTCTGTTCCTGCAGTCTCGTCTAGTGGGGGTTGGTCGGTCACGGCGCTCTCCACCTTCACCAGGTAGACGCAGAGCAGCACCAGCAGATACATAGGCTTCATGGTGATGTTGATAATGTTGCCACTGAGGCGGGACTTCTCTCTGTCAGCAGTTGCTGATGACAGTGAAAAACAGATGAGCCTACTGTTGACCGCCCGACGTCGAGGAAGTACGTTTGAATAATGGTGGCTCCTGTAGCAGGGAGACCTGTTTTATATGCTTTGGTAATGCGATCAAACAGACTCCTGAAACACCTGCTGTCAAAACAAGTGCAGGAAGTTGGAACCGACTTGTGATGCATTAATGATTCTAGACATGTTTTTATATATATATATACATACATACATACATATATATATATATATATATATATATATATATATATATATATATATATATATATATTATATATATATATATATATATATATAATATATATATTATATATATATATATATATATATATATGCAAAACAACCACTCTGAAAGAATAGAGAAATTCCAAGCGCTTTCGTGACTACTCACATTATCAAGGAACTATGAAAGTAAAGCATCCAAGGAAGCTATATAAGGGGTCTGGCCAACACCTCACTATCAGATCCCACAACTGTTAAACACCTGACGCGCGCCGGCCCAACTGGACAGGTCCTTTAAGGCACAACTCGCCAACAAACTATTCTACCCAAGAAAATTTAAAAATTATTATTTGTCCAGTGTATTATTAAATTCTTCTCAAATTCTATTAATTGTAAATGGATCTAATTTATATAAACCAAAGGAAATATTCATATTATTGTCAAAACTGCTTTTTATGAAACAAGATTCAATTATATTCCTGTCGACCTTTGGACTTGCTTGATACTACTTTCTCAACTTTTTGAAAATCAATTGGATTGGTTAAAATCTCTTACATGAATAAATAGAGCATTGGAATCTTGTCCAGTTCTAATGCTATATTTATGTTTTTTTTAATCTTAGTTCGAGATTTTTACCAGTTTGACCGTAATAAACTTTATCGCAAATTTTACAAGGAATCTTATAGACACATCCATCAGCATTTTGGGGGGAATTCTTATCAAAAGTTTTTTTTTTACTGTATCAAGATTTTTGAATACAACTTTAATATTAAAAGTCTTAAGAAGAAAAGGGCATATCAACCAAATTTTCATGGTAATGGAGAACCAACATATTTTTAGTTGAGTAAGGCTGGTTGTCCCTTTTTGGATTGTAAAAAGTATTTCTAGCAACTTTAAAAGATTTACAAATTACATTTCTTGGGTATTTTAAATCATTACCTATTTCATAAATTTTGGATATTTCCTCATCTATGAACTCAGGACTACAAATTCGTAAAGCTCTCAAAAACATTGATGAGAAAACAGACAGTTTGACTCTATCTTGATGCGAGGAATAATAGTGGACATAGGAACAGTTGTTTGTAGGTTTTCTGTAAATTTTAAATTTGAATTCATTATTACCCTTAATAATTAAAACATCTAGAAAAGGCAATGAGTTATTTTCTTCAAACTCAACAGTAAAGTTTATAGAATGGGCTAAGCTATTTAATTTTCCAAGGAAATGGTGTATATCTACATTTTTGGGCATAAGACACAAAATATCATCAACATATCTGAACCATTTAGCTCTATTTTTTTTTATATTTTATTGAAAAACGCAATACATAGTTATACATGTAGACAATGTAATCAATGAAACGTATCCATTATATATAACAAAAGAAAACTCCACATTCCCTACCGTAGCACTAAACTTATACATAAGAACTAAACTAAAGACAGCCCACAGCTTCATATACAGGTGGGTTTATTACATCCAAAATTGCAGCCATAAACACAATATGCAATATAACCCAAAAAAATGTCACAGGTATTGACATTTTACATAAAACTGTATGTACGAAGACATTCTCAATTATCCAAATATTCTTTACACACTTATTATTGTTGTATATTAAACTTCATATCAAATACATAATACGTAACACCTCAATAATTACGAAACAAAATAAAGGTTTGAAATAATCTCCACACCTCACCACAGAAAAACTAAACACAGTACAATATAACAAATGATTCATCCCACCTCACTTCCATACACTACATTCGTCCCACCTCACTTCCATACACTACATTCATCCCACCTCACTTCCATACACTACATTCCTCACCACAAGCGAACTTACACAATCACGTATATTTAGTAATATTTTTCAAATATAATTTCCAGTTTAAGTAACAAACTTCTTCTACTATATAATGAAATATACATAGTCATTACTATTAAACATTAACTTAAACAAGACTATATTCTTATTCTACAGACGGCAGCAGTTCTTGCCTCACCATCCTAACCCTACTTGACACATTGTACATCAACACATCCTTATATACCCATCACTCGTCAATAATATTCATTGAACTTCACCGAATACCAATATACAACCCATACTGAGTACATGAAATTCTCTCTTACATACTGCTATATACACTTGATGTATGATAAAAATCACACACATTACATTATCTCATTATTAGCAGTACATTTGGTACACAGACATATTTATCACGCCCTCATGTCCGTTGCTTAATACAACCACCAATCCTGATAATACATCACAACATTTTGCCAAATTTAACTGATCCATAACATACACCCAGTATACCATTCTGAGTATGACCGTATACTTTTCACATGCAACAAATATTGCTCTTTCCATATCATAAAAATCTTAACTTTTCCCTTACAAACCACCACAAACTTACTTAAAACACACTCCACAACTACGCTGCCATTTCACACCATACACGGAACTCCTCATACATTCCCAAATTCTGAGACGAGCCCGATGCAACCCTGAAAACCCAAACACATCCCCCCCCCTTTTTTTTTTTTTTTTTTTTTTTTTTTTTTTTTTTTTTTTTTTTCCTTCCCTTACTCCGCCAACAAACTCTGACATTCATACTTCGATACCCTTTTCAGGAAAAAACCCTTTCCATCTACTTCCATATATCCCCTATTACGACTAAGTGTTTTGTACATTGTTGCACCCAAATACCTTCTTTCGCACCATCCAATCCCCATTACCCCTCATGGCCCATGATACGAAACAAAATCAGTTATGATGTACACCAAAGCACGCTGCACAGACTCTTCCACACCTCCCACATCTAAACTCAATGCCCTTAATACCGATATCCCTCCCCCACCCACCCTCCTCAAAATCCCACCCATCACTCCCGTTTTACACTCCAAATTTTTACAAAAATATACTACATAAAAGCTGTCTCCCTATCCCCACACACCTACATACGTCCTCCACCATCAACCCTCTCTCCCCGAAGCACCACACCCAGACGGCAATATTCCATGAAGGAAACGAAACATTACCTCTCTCACTCTTGGTCTATGCGCACCAACGAACCTTACCCAAAGTCTCCCCATGCATACATTGGGTATATGCCCTCAACATTTGCAATCACCCTCACCCCTACAGCACGCTCCAGAACACCTACCCGTATCCTAGACGGATCTCTAACATAAAATAAAGCTCGCAGCACATCCTCACACTCTCTCATCTCTGATCCTACCCCACCTTCGTGCCTCCTCATATAATGCTTGCACCCTTCCCACACGACCGTCCACTCGGATAAACCCCCTCTTCAAATATATACACTTAACCCTTAATCTTTATCTATTAAACCCAATCCACCTTTGTCGACCGGTAGCATAACAACACTTCTACCCAACCAATCACACCCAGAACCCCATATATATCGAAAAACCTTTTTAGCATTCTAGTTATGTCGGTCCTCCCAACGGATATACTGCTGCCATGCCAGACCATACTATATAACATCACATTCACCACTTTACATTTGATGTATCGTCAAATGCAAGGGTCTCAAAACATTTAACCTACCCACCAACCTATCCACTGCCCTCCCAGAATTAAGCATCCGTGCCTCCCGGCACTCCCCATATAAATTATCCCACACACTTTAGTCTATCCACCACACAACGCACAGCTGTTTCCCATCGCGCCCTCCCTACCCAATTCCCTAAGACCAATAATTTCGATTTCTCCACATTCACTTTTAAACCTGTAACACCTTCAAAACCACCAATTACATCCTCCACCTCATGTAAACTTTCCTCCTGCTCATTAGAATTGTTGTATCATCCACATACCCTATTATTCCCATCCCACCATTCTCCACACCACGTACCACCCTAAACATCGCCCACAGCCCTATAAAAAGGGTCCTGTATACAAGCAAACAACAGTTGAGACAGAGGACAACCCTGCCTTATGCCTCTACCCATTGAAACCCACTCACCCAATTTCCCATTCACCTGCACACGTACACCTACCCTATTATACAAAGTCTCAATCCAACGTACCATCTCTTCCCCAAAACCCTGCCTCCGTAAGATATGCCACAGTGCCTTTCGTTCTACGCAATCATACGCAGCCTGCCAATCCAATGCTAAGACACCTCCCCCCCTTTCATTCTCCCCCTCCATACTTTCCACAAATCTTTTATTATTCCATGTCCCTCATACATCGTCCTTCCAGGCACCCCATACTGACCTCTCGCAACAACTCTATCTATCACGCACTTCAGCCTGTTCCCCAAGATTTTTGCGAATATCTTATAATCAGCACATAACAACGACAACGCCCTGTAGTTCTGCACTGTAGTAGGGCCTTCCCCCTTTTGAAATCAATACTACTACTGCGGGACGCTGCAACTCACCCATCCTCCCCTCACTTTTCATCACATTCATCAGGTTCACTAAAAATCCTTCAACACACTCCAATTCTTCACATAGAATTCACAAGGTAACCCATCTATACCTGGCGCTTTACCTCTCGCCATATTCTCCAAAGCTCTCCATACCTCCCCCTCTTCAATATCCCCACCCAATGCCATACGATCACTTCCACTCAGCACACAAGATACATTCTCTCCCAATCTCTCTAAATCCTCACCGTTCACTCCTACACTCCTCAAATATTTTCCAAACCAACTATCCATAAAACCACTCATACCCTCAGTAGTTCTCAACTCCTGACCCTTCGTATACCCACCTAAGTCCTCGTGTACTACCAGCTTATCAATTTCCATTGCCAACCTGCGTCTCCGCTGACCCCGTAACACACAGGCTGACGGCCT